TGTTCTGGTTTCTTCTAATTTTTTGCCTCCTCTGTCTTTATCTGTGTCTAGCTTGGTCTCTTTTCAACCTATCTCTGTAAAACTCTCCTGTTAAGACTGCCTGTGAATTCCACCAACAGAACTGCCACAAACTTAACTCCACTGCACTGCCTCTCAGCGCACTGACTCAACCGAACTGCCTGAACAGCAGTGAAGAACTCAGAGATCTGCATGCCTCTGTCTCCTGAGTGCTGGGATTAAAGGGCTGTACTAGTACACCTGGACCTAAGCTTTTCTTTGCCTGAAAGTTGCTCCAGGCTGGCCTTGAACTAAGATCGGCTTGGCTCTGTCTCCTGGTATTAAAGGCATGTCTGTATTCCAATTGGATCACAGAGACGTAGAAGATCTTTGGATGAGACCTCTTGCCAGAGAAGCCACATTCTGAATTAAAATTCCTCTACAGCTTCCCTACCCACTACAGAGACATCTCAGTTAGAATTGTGATTTGAAAAAATAAAGCTATATGTCACTAAGGTTGCACAAGGTTTTTTTTTTTTTTAATTATTTTTTAATGCTCTTCCACTGTAGAGCATGTTGTTTCTGGTGGATTTCTGAGAAAATTTCAAGTTTATACACAAGACAAAGACAATTATTAATTGTGGTGAGATTCCTGGGAGGCTTTGTTTATTGGGGGGAGGGGAGTGTTATTTTGTTTTTTGTTTGTTGTTGTTTTTGACTTGTTTTTCCCAGGGAGAGGCGGTAACCAGATTCCTGTGTGTCATAGTTAGCTTGAGCTGTAAACGTGACACGGACAGAGTCACCTGGACCAAGGGATGACTGTGAGATGTTTTCTCCTTATTGCTATTTGAAGTAGGAGGGTCCAACCACAGGTGCTGCTGCCCCGTGCAGGTGAACCTCCTTAAGAATGCAGACAGAAAACAAGGCACAAAGTCTCCCTCCGCAGCCCCCACTGTAAGGAGGGAGCCACAGAGCGCAAGCCAGTGGGCAGCTGCCCTCCATGGATTCTGCTTCAGATTCTGCCTGAGCTCCTGCCCTGGCTTCTCTTGGGGATGGAGTGCAACCAGGAGCCAGATACACCCTTTCCTCCCCTGCTGCTGGCAGTCATGTGTTCATCACAGCCACAGAGAGCAAAGTAGGACACATGAGAAGGAACTTCCTTCCTTTCTCATGTTTCTATAGTTTTCCCTGTCTTCTCACTCAGTGTCCTGACAGAGGACAAAGCGATGTCAGGGAGTCTAATGGGATATTCCAACCACGGTGTCTGAGAGGTGCAGATAGGCTAATTCTGGGAATCTTGGAAGCCTTGACTTCTCTGCTCTGCCACAACACTGCCTAGCTATCAACCAGAGAGATTGTTGGATGTGATCCATTCCCCTCTCGTGAACTACTTCCCTCAACACTGTTAGCAGAATGAATATATGTCTATAGAGGCAAAGCACAGAATTGGGGATTCTCCTCTTCTCCTGCAGGACAGTGTGTGTGCAGTCCTTCAGCACCTGGGGTAGGCAGTTATGGCCTGT